TGTTCCAGAGGTTTGGACATTCCTACAGTACAAGTTGTCATCAATCACAACACTCCCGGCCTGCCAAAAATCTACATTCACCGGGTTGGCCGGACAGCCCGTGCGGGTGAGCTGGGAAAACCGCGTGCTGTTTGCTGGCTAAAGCTGGGATCCCAGTGCCGGGGCTGAGCCCTGAATGGGTGTGAGGAGGCTTCACCGCAGCTGCAGTGCAGGCTTTTCAGTCAGCGCCGGATCTGCTTGGATCACCGGCTCAGCATCCTGCCTTAAGATGGCAACGATGGCTCACCCTGACTTGGGTCTGATCTGCACCAATAGTTAACTGAATTTTCAGAGCGAATAAAGACCCCGCTGAGCACCCCGTCACTGTAATGTGCCAGGCTGACTCCTGGGGCTGGGTGGAATTTGGCATGGGTTAGGCTTCATCTCCCTCCGCTTGTCAAGATTCATACATCACTGTCTTTCCACCATCCAGGGCGGAAAGGAATAGCCATTACGCTAGTGACGCAGTACGACATCCATCTCGTACACGCTATTGAGGAGGAAATCAGTAAGTAGAGCACCAGCAATGCTGCTGAAATGTGGGGTTATGTGCGTTCCTTTGTGCCTGTGGTACCTGCAGCACTGATTTCATCAGTGCAGAACGTATGATCCAGAACATCAGGGTGAAAATGGTTTCTCTTCCCTGTGTGACTAAGGCTTGGAAAAGAGCAGGAGCACTTGAATCTCCATCCGCTTCAGTTCTGCTCTTGAGTGTGCCAGGCATGAGCGTGTTTGTCTTCCTGCTATTTCTAGTGGAGGGGAACCAGTGTGTTAAACTTCCTCTGTCACCTTTTTATTAAAGCAGCCAGCTTCTTCATTACTTCCTTGCTACTGTGTGTGCCGAGGTGGACAAAAAGAACAGGTTGCTTTGCACAGATTCAGACTTCATCTTTTTTTTTTTTTTTTTAGGAAGTGGACCTAATAAACGCAATGTCTTGTGCTATGGGGAATTGTAGGCCGGGGGGGGATTTAATGCTTTGCCGTAGGCCTGAAGAAGTCAGCGATCATAGGACAGGACATTCATGACAGGAATCCCACTGACAATTGGTGGAACTATTTTGGGTTTTTTACCAGCCAAGAATCTGCCCCTGGGTTTTGTAACCAGCCCTGCTCTGTAAATGTCTCTCGCCCCGATTTAGAACTGAAGCTGCAGGAGTTCTCTGTGGAGGAGCGGTTTGTGCTTGACATCCTCACCCAAGTGAACGTCACCAGGAGGGAATGTGAAATAGTAAGTGTGCAAACATGAAGCCCCTTTGCTTAAAGGACTGGAGACCTCGGGCAGCTGGGCGTAACCAGGAGATCCGCTGCAGTCCAACACATGGCTCTGGATACGCAGCTTTGCTCTTGAGCACATCAATAAGAATTTTTGTTCCTTCTTCTAGTGGAAGCACGCAGACCTGTGTGTGGGGAGGGTTGTTTGAGTTATCTTCCCTCGGTTTGCTCTATTACTGCATTCAAGACCAGGTTGGACGGGGCTGTGAGCAACCTGATGTGGTTCAAGGTGTCCCTGCTCCCTGCAGGGGGCTTGGGCTGGGTGACCTCTAGGGGTCCCTTCCCACCCAAACCATTCTATGATTCTATGATTTTTGCAGCATTTTTGTGCTGCTGAGTGCTGAGGCTGGTACTTTGGGGGGAAGGTCTGCAGGCTACCAAATGCGCGTGCACTGGTGAGGTTCTGCTGAGCCTTTAGAGCTGCTCTGCTTTTCTCCGTGTCAGACTCAGTGCTTGGTTACTGACTGCCCGGCTGTATTTTTGCTTTGACAGGAACTGGAGGGAATGGATTTTGATGAGAAGAAAGAAATAAATAAGCGGAAACAAATGATCCTTGAAGGGAAGGTGAGAGTTGCTGCTATATAAGCTGTGATCAGCAGCTGGTATAATGGCATGGCCGTGGAAAAGGAATGACAGTTCCTCCCTCCCTGCTGTGGTGTGTCTGCCTCGCTCCCCTTCAGGGTGGGGAAGTTTTATCTTACAGGGTGACTGATATTAAAAATTGCTTTGGGGTAGTGTCTGACTTCTGCAGCCTACTCAGTCACGGGCTGGAAGGCAGCACGGGGCATCTAGGAAAGGCAAAGGGGCTGGCACTGTCCCTAGGCATGTCACTAGTGTCCTGGCATTTGCCATTGCAGGATCCAGACCTGGAGGCAAAAAGGAAGGCAGAGCTAGCCAAGATCAGGAAGAAAAACAAGCAATGCCGTGAGAAGGTCCAGCAGATACTGCAGAAGAAAGAGCAACTGCGGCTGAAGAGGAAACTGCAGAAGAAGATGGAGCGGCGGAACAAGCTGCGTGCTGCGGAAGAGAAGTGAAGTCCTTTGGCCTGACTTGCTTGGCTTGGACTGCCCTGACGTTGCTGCTGCTTTGGGAATACTGGGATCTAACGCGTTTTAATGTGGACACTTCTGACCTGGAATCGGTGTTGGAGAGTACAGGGAAGGTGGGTGAGGGGAGAAGGGTCACCGATAAACAGTCTCCACTCTTTTTCCTTCCTGCACAACGCTGCTGGCTTGGGCCATTCCTGGCAGGCTGGGTCAGTCTCCTGGAAGAATGTCTTTCAAGAGCCTGTTTCCTTCCTCCAGCAAAGGAGAGGCCAGACCTGAATTCTTGGTGACGTGAAGGGAAATAAAGATCCTCTCTCTTTTTCCCCCTTCATTCAGTCATTGCTCCTTCCCTTTCCAGGGCTGGTCCAGAGTCTAAAAATACTGTGGCAAAATGAGCTCAGCCCCTATCTGTGCCATAGCCCAGAGTTTACTGAGAGGAAAATTCCTGGAACGTGTGGGGAGGTTGTATTGCGTGGCTGGTCCTGGGCTCTTCTTGGGATAATTCTGATTTATACATTTAAGCTATACTCTTGCCCGCGATTGTCTGCCTTGGCTCAGACTCCAGCCTGGGGCTGCTCTCCGTGGGGACAGCAGTCACGGTTTGGAGACCGGGGCTGCTGGGGACTCTCTTTTCCCAGATGATTGGTCAGTTCAAAGACACACAAGTTCTGGCACAGAAGCAGAACCCCAGCAGTAGGCTCGCTTGTTCTTGTACCATCCAAGGCAAACCAGAGTGGTTCAGATTTGGGGCTGCTCTGTAGGTTTCTGAGCTTCCCTGTGTAGATTTCCATCACGTATGTTTGGAACAGGAGGTTGCTTAGGCTGGAGGGGGCTGAGCTCTCCTAAAAAACAGTTGTGTTTCCCTACGAAGACAGAACTCAAAATCCCAGAGTAGCTCAGGCCAGAGTTTGGCCAGCTCTGTTCTGATGTCAGGTTTGATCCTCAGTGCCTTCTTCAAGGTTCAGAGCTTTCTGTGGCTTGAGACTGAAGATCTGTTATTTCTGTCCTCTGCCTTACAAAAATAGTTTCTATGGTCAGTGCCCAAATAAATATTTATTGTAACAAGTGACTGAATGTTTGACCTCCAGTGCGTGCGGGAGTTGTGGGATCTTAGGGGCGGGGAGCAGGACTTGTATGGGCAAACAGCTTGGAGATAAAACTGGGTTTATTTCAAGAGATGAGCTGGATAAGGATTGAGCTTCTTGTGGGTGTTATATCCCTTCAGCCTCAGCCAAGCTCCTTTCCTGGGAGCATGGGGTCTCTGTTGTGCCTTTGCCTGACCCGAAGTGGGGTCTGTGAAGTGGGGTCTGTGCACGGTCGTGCCCAGCAAAGCTGGTGTTCCCCTCGGGGAAACTCCTCCTGCCCTGCAGATCAGGGCCTCCTGGTGCCTTCAGGCCATGCAGGAGCCCAGCACTGGGCTTGGGGGATGCAGGCCCATCTCCTGCCTGGTGGCAGGCAAGATGCGGGTGGTACTGGCTGGGTTTTTGGGAATGCCTGAACGTGTTCCTCCTCCCTTTGTCCTCTTGGGTGCCCTCCAGGAAGGAAAAAGCACTCGACACCCTCCCTGGCAGCACAGCTCCCTGTCACTGGTGGCAGCTGCTGCAGCAGCAGCAAATAGGTTTGTATCAGACTGATGCTTTCTGAATACTAAATGCGTCCACAGCCTCGTGCATGCTAATTTGTGGAACAAGCCTGTTAGCTGTAGATTAAAAAGACATCCTCTCTGGGACAGACTGCTCCTGCCTTCCTGGGGAGGGTGCTGATACTGCTTTTCAGCGTCAGTCGATCCCCTCCCTTCGCAGACACATCTTAACCTGCCGTCTGAGGTCTCTCTGCTTCAGCCTGGTGGGGGTTTCTCAGTTTGTCTCCTTCCAGCACAATGCGACACGTGGGGGTTTGATCAAGGCTCTTGTCTTGAAGCTTTATTCAAAATTCCTTTTAATAAACGTCTTGTCTGTCTTGAGCAGCCTTCTCTGTGAGGGTAGGACACGTGCAGGAAGCAAGAGCTCTCTGTAGTGCTGACTTGATGTTCTTGCTTCAGATAGTTTTGGGAGTGGCCGAGTAGAAAAAGAGGTTGCCGTGTTGCTGGGATGTAGAAAGATGCCTTGAATTCCCAGATTAGGAATTTACACCTTGCCCAGGGCCAGAGGATGTTGGCTGACATTCCTGCACGTGCTGCTGGTACTGCCCCCCAAGCAGGACATTCCATTCTGGGGTTTCTAAGCATTGCCATAAAACCTTTGGGGTCCCCTAGGAATATCATGACTTCCTTCTCGTCACAGCCTAGATCGTGCCTTGGCTGTAAACCCCCCGTCCTCTGCGTGTGGCTCTGCCTGCCAGGCCCCCAAGCAGGCGCTCGCACGTTTCCCTGCCTGCGCTGTGCAAGACTTGGCCCCGGCACGGCTGCCGGTCTGTGCCCGCTGCGCCCACGCGTGCCCCTCGCCGGTGCCTTCCACCCGCTCTGCTCCCCCCCCCTTCGCCCCAAGCTCCCCAGCTCTGGGGGGGTTCCCTGGCTGGGTTGCCGTGGAAACTTCTCAATTCAGCATCTCCCATCGCTGCCGCTTCTCAGACCCTGGGCGGCTGCTGAACACGGCGCTGGCATGGGGACAGTCCTGCACCTGAGCCAGCCCTCCTCATCCTCCCATCTCCTCTGGGTGTCAAACCATCGCCCGGCCCTGCTGCTCCGAGGGGCTCAGCGAGCCGCGTGCCCCTCTGCCGCCCACCTCGCGGGGCAATTCTGGCCCCCCTTTAGGCTGATGTAGGCACGTGCCAAAACTGGCTGCTTTGTGCAGCTTTAAGGAAATATTTCTCTCTTCCTGGAGCATTTCCCCCCCCACATCTGCCCCTCTTACGGAGGAACAAACATCTCCCAGGCGTGCTTCCCACAAGTTTTGCAGGGAGGAGGGAGAGGCTGGGATCCTCCCAGGTGGGAGGCACAGCATTGCATAAATCCTCCACACTGGCACTTCTGCTGCACGAGGAAATGTGGAAGTGGGGACAGGTTTGGTAACGCGGCAGTGACCTTCGGGGGCTGGCACCTCCTGCATAGATGGATGCTCTGTCGGGCAGGAAAGCTCTGGATCTCTACGGTGAAGAAAATGAATGAAATAGTCGGGAGTAATCTTTGTGCCAGGCTTTGGATTTCTCTCTGCTGAGACAGCAGTGCTGCACCGGAGCTCGTGTGCCAGCCTTGCTGCTGCAGGTGCAGCCGTTTCCAGCTCCCCCCTCGCAGGGTGCTTGGTGCGCACCCCCCAGCGCTGCGGGCGCTCGACACGGCTGTACCTCCACGGGGGTTCTTCACGCTGCCCAAAATCTCTCTGGTCCAGCCTGCACCCTGTGAGCTGCTGCTTTACCTTTGGATGCTCTTTGCAAACACAAACTCAGCTGTTTGGAAAGCCTTAAAAAGCTGCTTAATAAGCTTTTCTGCCAGCAATGGCCTTTTCCCTTCCAAGCCCTTCTCCCCGGGCAGCTTGCGTGCAGCCCTGGGGGGGCCCTGCCGCCAGCGTAGCCGGTAGGTGGCACTTGGTGTGCTCTGGACACCCTCCCCGCTGGCTCTAGTCCTTGTTCAGAGGGAGATACAGCACAGGGCTTCTTGGCTGGCTATTCAAGATTTGGCTTGAGAAAGCAGGGAGGCAGTGGGGGGAGAGGGCTGCCTGTCCCCACGCCACCCATGCATCAGCCGGGCCCCAGCCGGGTGCTGCTGCTGGCCGGATCCTCCCGGCTCAGTGCTTGAAGCCTCAGGATTTTCCCTTCACTTGCAGGGCAGGACCGATCCTGCACCCTGCAATCGTGGTTACGGCTGCTTCTCCAGTACAGGGCTCCCCTCCCGACTCCTTGCAGTTTCTCTGTTGAACCTTCACCTTTCCTGCTGCACCTTAAAGCTCTTCCCTGCCAGTTTCTGCTGATCGAAGTCCTTGCCCGTGGCCCACCCTCATTCAGGGCTTGACTGCAGCTGCCCAGACATGCACCTTCACTCTGGGTATGACATGCTTGACACCGTGACTCCCCAATTCCTCCCTGCCAGCATCAGGACTCCAAAAGTGGGACAGAGGGAAGGAGTATCTGGATTTTCTTTTTTTTTCTTCTGTGCTAAGAAAACCTCCCTGCTGGCTCTGTTTAATTCATACCCGTGTCTCACTCCCTGCAGCAGCTCCGTCTCCCGGGAATGCATCCCTGCATGACTTGCTTTGGATTCCTGTCACCTCTGGGAGGGAGAGCAGTTGTCCAGGAGCAGAAGGCTCTGCTCTGGGCTGGCAAAGAGGAGCTGTGAGCACAGCACCAGTGTTGCGGTGCCTCATCCCCACCCCTTCCTCTCTGCTCGGTACTTCCCAGGATCATTCTTGAATTCCCAGGCCCAAACATCACAAGCTGTGCTGCTCCCAGGTCGAGACTACAGGAGAGGTGGCGCTCATGCCACTAATCTCTAGGCTCAGACACCGTTTTCATCTACCCATAACAAGGTTCTGGGCATCAATATCTCCAGCCAGAAAAGGCTGGAGTGAAATGTTTGCTGTCTGCTGCCTGCTGGGAGTTGAAACCCTGTTAGCCCAGCGCTGGTGAGAACAGAAGGCACAGACTGTACACAGCATCCTCTCTCACTTCTTCTTCTACCAGCCCTTGGGAAAAATAAGTTAGCAACAGGGTGAGGAGCGAGTGCTGAGGCAGAGCGGCTGCCCTGTTCGCCCCGGAGCACACAGTGTCACCCCCGTGCAGACTGCAGGATGGGGTAGGTGACAAAGCGGTGACGATTTCGCATTTGTGGCAGCCTGCGCAAGTCCCAGTGCACCGCAAAGGGAGCACAAGCCCTGGAATAGCTGGTGCTGCAGCCTGCAGAGCCCCCCCCTGCCCGCCATGGGGGGATGAGGCCGTGGGGACCGAGGGGACGCCGGCCTCCTGCCCTTTCCCCCCCCCCGGAGCTGCTCCTGCGGGGGACCTGTTGCTGGAGCTGCCACGTCTCTCGTGCCTGGCATGGTGCTTGCTCGTACCGCAAGCGTCCCGTATCCAGCATTATTCCTACTGCTGCTTTTTGGGTAGGGTGGAGGGAAGCTGAGGGAGGAGGCAGGACCTCGTGCAGGGATGATCAGTGCTGTAGCTCATGTTCTTTTCCCTCGGAGGAGAAACTGCCTTTGCACACCACAATCTAATAACGATAATAATTATAAATTACTCCAGGAAAGGGGACTGTGAACCTCACTGGATTTTTTGGGGCTTTATTCTGTGTTCATGGACATTTTCCAAAACACACATTTAATTGCCTTCTCCGGTGCACACGGAGATTGTCTCCCCGTGTGTGCACGGGGGGGGTGTTACACTCCGAGTACGCTCGCCTGTGCTGTCAAGTGTAAACAGACCATTTCTGGACTAAAAATAACCTCTCCTCTGAGTAACAGAGCAGCTGATCCCTGCAGCCCAGACGCAGGAGCTCAACAGGATTAGGTCACCTATTTTTCATTAACGGTGCTATTTAATTACATATTCTGCCAAGTTCGATCCTTTGGAGATTTAAAACAAAGTGCCTAGCTGCATTCCCTCCATCGAGAGCTTGCTTCAGTTCTCACAAAACCACAGATATCAAAGCCAACCTGCTAATAAGTTTGATGTGAGGCTGCCTAACACCCCCCACACACACACTACCAGGGGGCTCTGCAGCGGCTTTTGGGGAGGAGAATGATTTTTAACCTCCTGTTTAAAATCACTCAGCGGACTCAGGGTATTAACCAGCCCGGCCTGCGCTAACCTTTTCTTCTCTTGGCTCTCCAGGCACCTTGTAGATGTCAGTAATTTAAGTCCAACAGGCCTTCGGGGAGGGTAATTATCTGCTTTGTGGAGGAGGAGAAATCAAAGCCTGGAGAGGCAGAGCGAGCCGGTGGTGGTCTGCCACTTGCTGCGACGCCAGCTCTAGGTCTGGCCTGGATCTGCCTTCCTGCTCCGCCTGGAAGGTCTGCGTTGGCATCTGTCAGATGGCGTCTGCATTAGGCACAACCTTTTTTCCGAGGCTCCAGGATTGGCACGTCCTGTAACAGCAAAGCGTCATTTCCTCTGGCTGGGCTGGGCAGAAGGACCTTGCCAGGGGTCTGGGTGCGGAGCAGAGAATCACAGCTTGCTGCTGCCCTCCAGAACGTTGTGCGAAGAGGGGAAGGTCGCAAGATGTTTTATTTGTTCATCCTGATCTCATACGTGAACCTTTTCCCCCACATTCCCTTTATTAACGTTCTGTCTAGGTTTTCTATGAATAATTAAGATCCTCATTTGCCAAAAGAATTAGGTCTCCCAAGGCACCTGCAATCAGTAGCATTTCTCCTCCAGCACAGAAGCCGCTGTTACCGAGTTGCTGACAGCAATTGTTACTGCGAGACAGAAGCAAACACAAACCTGCAGCCTTGCCCTTCATTGCTGGCTTTCGTAACAAGATTTTTCTCCTTTTGAAGCAAGAGAAGCATGAACAGGGAAGGGGCGAGGGTTGGAAAGTGCGTGGTGGGGACGCGTTAGAGTGCTGCTGCTCTGAAACGCAGCTGAAGCCCTTTTTAGATCCTCACTCAAGTGGGGCAGATGGGATGGGAGCTTTGCTGCTATGCCGTCTGCAGTGGGGTTGTCTTGTTGCTAACCACAGATTTCGGGCATTTGTGGAAATAGCTGGTGATGAATGGGTTTTCATCAGCCTAGAAGAGGGGAAGACTGCAGCAGGAAGTGCCTCCCAGAGCCATCCATCACGCTGCCCTGCAATGCCTCAATAGAAGACTTCTAACAGACGCGGAGCGCAGGACAGATCTCATCAAAAGCCACTATTTGGGTTATTCTGGCAAGGAA